GGTGTCTGACAATATTAAACGTTTGCTCTAAAGCAAACATTACAAGCAACCTAGGTTGATGGTAGGCCAATATATTTTTTAATATATAACGAAGAGATTGAACTGTATTTTTATATTAAATCCCGTAAAAACAATAGATAAAATATGTGTTGTGTAGTTTAATCAGTCTTTATATCTCACGGCACAGAAAAAAAGATAATTTGAATCATTTCATTCTAGGATAAACAAAATGAATATCTATCTGTTCTAAATCTGATTCAAATCAGATTACTACTTTCCTAAGTGAAGATCTGACAGCGGCTGCTTAGAGGGTTTGTTCTGGTGCCATTTGAATTAGTAAATGGAAATGCCGCTTTCAAAAAATCCGAGAGTGACTCCAATAGACCGGCACATATTGATGTTCTTCAGCCGCACTGCTTAGTCTCCAAAACGCGAAGCTATAAGAATTTTACCTGATTGGCTGATACAATTAGCGCTTATGTTAATAACATAGGTCATAAAAAGCACGGTTCATAAGCTATCTCTGTCAAGAGCAAATGTAATTTCTTCTTGAAAAGGTATGTTGGTTGTTTCTTTGTTTGTTTATTGTACTTTTCTAGAAATCAGTTTTATTTTAAAACAAGTTAATTAATGTTAAAATTAACAAAACTGCATTATCAGCTACTAAAGTAATAGCTTTTCTAATTAATGTCAATATCCAGCTTACCACACTGCCAACAATACCAAGCAATGATGCTACTGTTTTTTTTTTCTAGCTAGCATAAATATTACCGCTAGCACAAATCGTACCTGTCACAAAATTGTCTATTGTAATTCGAAGACTTGTTGATATCATACCTATATATCGTAAAATTACCATCAATTGTTAAGCCTTATCTGTTAACATTTTCTTCTTAATAATAACCTCTTTATAACTTCTTTAATAATAACCTCTTTCTAATCTCTTGCTGCTTTATCAGTCTCTATGTTTAAAATCATTAAAGCAATATTGTATTTGGCAAATCAATCATTAAAGCCTTCTCCTACCAAATCCATATCATAACAAATGAGTACTGATTGCTTTCATGTGACTCTTATTTCTGATGGTTTGTTTCTTTTATTTGTTTACATCTATGTATTTACATGAAATATTCTTTTTTTGATGGCTTCAGGATAGTTTTTTTCCCTGCTTCTTACATCGAGACAAATTATATTGCAGGTTTTGAAATGACATGGGAATTCACTTTGACGTTGACATCACTACCTTATGCAGTGAAAGCAAAACGTATAAAGAAACTGAAATATAAATCCAGTCTTTAATTGTGAATCGATACAAATATATTTTCAGATTCTTTTTCAACTCTCTTCGTATAATAGATTCATAGCATACTAACTTTCTAAAATGGCTTCAGAAAAAAAAGAATTCTTAAAAACAAACAGAAATGAAACAATGCATTCACATATTGGTCTGTTAATATCATCTCAAGATAAATTGTCTCATATTAAATGTTCAATAAATAAATTCATATTATGTGTATAATTTTGATGAATTAATTTGTTCAATGCCTTTGACATTTGAGTTTTAAGCATTAAACTCATTTAAACTTCCTAATTGTATGCAATTTGTTTTTAATTAACTTTTTTTTGTCCCAGTTATATTGTCTGGAATTATAACATAAGCCCAAACTTCGCTGATTTTGCGAACTTACCCAGAAAATATATTGCGCCTATGGTAGAATTTGAAAATACAATTTTCTTCTGTTGAAAAGCTACCTGGAAACGTTACCCGTAGACAACAGAAACCAGACGATATGACGTAAAATATAATTTCATGTTTTCGGTAAATTAATTCTGATAATCAAATAATTTTGTGTGATTTGTTCATAATATAATTAAATTTATCAGTTATAAATCTAAATAAATTTAGTATCGAAATACTAACACTGTACACGATTTTTGTACAACTATCTTGAATATGCAAATGTAAGTAAAATTTCATGCTTGTAGCTCTGCAATGTGTAACGTTAGAGATTAATTCGTTTATGTATTGAATGCTCTCAATTGTACCGTTATTCTATTCTTAAAACAATAAGCAGATTACTGATTCTAAACTGTATCTACTTAGAAATCTGTCTGCTACGCACGAGCTCATATAACACCGATTCAGTGCCATCATTTTTTTTTGGTGATGCGTGCTTAGTCGTAACTGTATATGGGTTGGTGCGTGCAGAGAAGGCGATGGGTGCCATTTACTCGCGGACCTGGGTTCGAAACTCCGTAGAGTACGAATTTAATTTCTCTAACCTGTATGATAGTATTGTTTGTATTAAACTATAAATTCTGCCCACTATTATCAAGATTCTACTACAGAATCCAGGGATAGCACTCTCTATTCTGTCTGGTATATATTTATAATTCTTTGAAATACAAAAATCCAATATACATTGATTTCTTTCACAGGAATCTGGAACGACTGTGTATATAAATGAGAATTATTTACTAGGTCATCATGCAAGTGTGTTTGCTATGCTTGAACTCATATAACACTGATTCAGTGCCATCCTTTTTTTTTTTTTTGGTGATGCGTGCTTAGTCGTGACGGTATATGGGTTGGTGCGTGCAGGCAAGGCGATGGGTGCCATTTACTCGCGGACTTGGGTTCGAAACTCCGTATATATGGTTTTCTTAACGAAATCACATATATTCCTGTTTACCAGTATAAATATATGTGTACAAAACATATTGATCTTATTGGTATTGATTCAGTCACGTTTACATGTTTACAGTTCCAGTATCACGTTCTCTATCTATATCGTATTTATTTAATTTAATTTTGTGAATGTTATATTTTTGAAAATATATAATAATGGGCGGCATGCATGCATAATTAAATACGTCTTTGTTGTTCTGGCTTGTGCATTAAATTACGTTAAAAGGGAATAACTTTTAAGTTAAAAGTACGAACTTAATGAATAATAATTTATAACATCTACAATATAATCTCTAACTCCCAAGAGACAAAATTAAAACTAATAAAACATTGAACCCATGGCCACTACCAATTCTTTCATTAATTTTCAACAAATAAACAACATCAAGAAACACAATGTATATATCGTAATAAAATTAAGGAGATGCGCATTTGGTTGTAGCGCCCCGTTGAAGCAATTCTTAGGTTTGTGTGATTACTTGTGTGATTATTGGAATTCGATGCAATGGAAAATATTCCTTAGCCCGAAATAATTAGCCAATTATTAGGAGCAAACGTCACGGAAAGAAAGTGTTAGTGCGTTTCCAAGATGCCATTGTCAATGAGTAGCGAATTCAGACCCAATCCGCATTACTGTCCCTGCAGTGATGTAGTACTTTATAAAATCTAGTGGTGTTCATCGGTGTTGTAATTGCAGCGGCAGTATTTATGGTAGGAAACCGGTAGATTACACAATGGAATAAATGAGAAAGGACTCGGTAGATACCGTTTATGTCGCCATGGTGGCAAATGTGATGTAGTTTTACTGATGTGAGGTGCCTTGAAACGGTAGATCGTTTGGCCTCAGGTGGGCAGTTAAAATAGTCCCTCGTGCTAGGGATAGTTGTAGAGTTTCTACGGTGTGAACTACTGGCGGAACGGAAAGTTGTTGTAGAGAAACTATGCGGATGTGCGGTTGATGGTTATTTGGCAAGTTGTAAATAATGTGGTATTACATTGATTAGAGTAAAATTTATGTATAGAATAGACACCTCGGGCTTTCCAACTTACAACTGAAGTTATATAGAAGTCATTAGAAATTTGGGGCAAACTTATGACTTCTAGCGGGATTCGCACCAGGGTTTGACACCGCTCGATCAAGCAATAGACCCCTGGCTTGTAACAATATGTATGCTTTCTATTTCAGGTCACATCATTTAACTTAAAACAAAACAACAAACATTAATGCAAAGATTATAACCCGAACTATACAAAAGTTAAACCATAAACCAGAGTTAATATATAACAGAAAATTGCTACTATCCTTGGGGTTAGAGAGTGTTGGATTCAACAAGAAGGAAAATAAGGTGATTTGCGGCATTATGACCTGAGCAGGGCCATACATGAGTTATATTACTCATCTCCTTTTCCAAAACAAATAAAGCAGTAAATTTTCTAACATGTCCTCAACTTGCTAGTCACATTGAATTGCAATTTTTACTGGGTACAATAAACCTGCCACAACATTTGTATTACTTTTCAATAAATACGTTAGTAAACAGAACAGGTGGCTCGCAAGCCAATAATTGCAATTAACAAGCTTCTAAAGAGTCCACTTTGTCTCGACTTTAGCCCTTTCACGAAGAAAATAATATTATTGTGCGACATCCTATTTAAATTGTTTTGCTCCGGTCACAACATGTTTGTTTATCTTACAATACTAAGAAGAATAATCTGAAAGTTTTCGAAAGAATTTTTAGAAGCAACTCACGTAAAGAGTAATTAAGTCACTATCTTGATGTATCATAAATTTATATTTCGCCTGTTTCAGTGACAACGGTAACAATAGATGAAACGACAACATAACATTAAATAATGTTAATGAAAAAGTTATATATATATATATATATATATATATATATATATATATATATATATATATATATATATATATATATATATATATATATATATATGTGTGTGTGTGTGTGTGTGTGTGTGTGTGTGTGTGTGTGTATATATATATATATATATATATATATATAGAGAGAGAGAGAGAGAGAGAGAGAGAGAGAGAGAGAGAGAGAGAGAGAGAGAGAGAGAGAATACAGATCATATGGCAAATAACAGCCCTTTCAAGCGCACTGGATCCAGCAAGGGATCACGTGTGCCAGGAATTGATTGAGATAGATGTAATAGACTGACGACGAATAGTGCAAAATTAGTAACTAGCCTGAGCGCTTTCGACTCTTAATGCGTCATTTTCAAATGCATATACAAAACATAGACAAAACAAATAAATAAACAAAAAGTTGTGTTTGTAAACGCTTCGGTGCCTAGTGGTTAGAGTGTCCGCCTCGGATGCAGGAGGTCGTGGGTTCGAACCCCGGCCGACTCATACCAAAGACTTTAAAATATGGTACTAAAAGCAGCCTCGCTTGGCGCTCAACATTAAGAGGTTAGTATTATGACTTGTTTGGCTTGTGTCAGGATAATGTGACTGGGTGGGACATAACTATAAACTGTCACACTGTAGACATAGTAGCGATATGACTGAAAAATTGTTAAAACTACGTTAAAAATCTAAATCACACTAAATCACAGGTTGTGTTTGTAAAACTCTACATGGCTGTCTCTACATGAATTAAACCAATAGATGCATTATGTCTCAACTAGCTTGTATAGACTTGTTGCGGATTCTGAGAAATGTTCTATTTCCCTAGAAATCTATGAGCAATTGCGACATCTATTACTTTGTGTATATTTATGTAACACAGATTATATGCCAGATATTTGATTCTATACCGGATATTTTATTCTTATAGTAGTAATTAAAGGATTTCAAGAAGGTTTAAAAAAGTTTTAAAAGAAACTGTGTCGGCTGCAAAACATAATTCTATTAGTGCATAGGTTTCTTTTTCTAGTCTTCTTCGTCTAGACAGCTTGCTTCAATGTTTTAAGGTGGCGTATCCATTAAGATTCTTTTTTCCGAAGCCAGTTCGGAACTCCAGTTGGGGTTGTTAGCAATTGTGATAAGTTTTATATCACTTAAAGTGTGGCCAGTGGAGGAAAAGTGTTCTTCAACCGGGCTTCTGTACAGACGTCGGACGTACTAAAGCTAATCCTTCCTAACAAACCTGTAGTAGCCTACAGGAGACCAAAACACCTCCAGGACATCCTAGTCCTGACGAAGTAAATCACTAGTCAAGACCACCCTAGTCAATTTGGACCATATGGCGATAAAAGATGCAAAAAACCTGTCAACATATGATAGAGACCAGGACATTCACTAGCACAGTTACTAGAGAAAAACTAAACATACATGGTCCAAACAAAACGTGCAAAACAGAGACTGTACTTTATTTCATCATATGTAAGATCTGTAGTCTTCAGTATGTCGGAGAAACTGAAAAGCTACACAAAAGGATAAACCTTCATAGATCTGTTATAATTTGTGTAATGGCAATTTTATTTAACACGCTTTTTTCATAAATTTGTAATTGGAGATTACAAGAGATACAATATAGAAGGTAATGAATTAGAACGAAAGTCAATATCTGATAATATTCTTTTTTCACATTACAAAAATTGTAAATAGGCATGAAAAGGAATAAATGATGGATATTATTAAGTTTTAATGATCAAAAATTAATGTTTGGAAGACAAATTGACGAGTCTCTTGGTTACACACTTGCCTTTTGCCAAGGTATACAACTAGGAAGTTAGTAATATACGGGGATTAAGAAATAAAGAAGTTAAAATGAGAAATATGTCAAACTTTGTGAAGAAGATTTAGAATTTAGGGTTTAAAAGAAAGAAAAGGGACAAAATTAAATAAAAAATTAAATAAATTAAAAGGAATAAAACGCAAGATAAAAAAGAACAGTGATTCCTCTTAGAATGAGTCATTACGGATGTGATGGTGGATCATTTAGAAACATTAGAGAAAGTTGCGGGTTGTAGCTGTTCATGATCCGTGAAAGCGCATGTGTGATAGTAAGATATGCGCTTACGTATATCTTTCAGACTTTTTTCAATAAACTTATGCACGGCATCGAAAAAAAGAATGCTTACTTCCTACGAAAGCGTTGTAGCACAACACCATGGTAGATACAGTTAAACTGCCATATATAGAGAGAGACTGAAATAGTTCTGTGAGTTCTTTTTGGTACCAAACACAATATGAAGTAGCGTGTACTTGCTAAAGAGCCATATCTCCAAAACGGTGATCCAGTCATATTCTTTGTTAATAAATGTCGAGCTGCAATTTGTTGTAAATCTAGCGTGAAGAATTTAAAATGTCCTTCTGCACCTGTAAAAGTGATGCGATTATTTAATGTGATTTTGAAGTTGTTAATGGCGTCTGTTGGACGAGTCTCAATAGATAATGAAAATTCCATTCTCGAATGGGCAACGGAAGAAACGAGTTGTAATAAAGACGTGCTCTAACCTGTACAAAATGGTGTGTGTGCGTGTATGTGTGTGTGCGTGCGCATGTGTGTGCGTGCGTGTGTGTGTGTGTGCGTGCGCATGTGTGTGTGTGTGTGTGTGATAACGCAGCTTTAACAAGTTTTCAGTCATATCACTACATTGTTTATAGTGATGTGTAGCACTGGATTACCATGCCACTGACATGTATCATCATGTCACACACGGTCGCATTGTCCGGACACCATGCCAACCAGTCCTAGAACTGATCTCTTAATTCTGAGCGACAAGCGAGGCAGCTGCTACTATTATTTTTATAAATCTTTGGTATGACTCAGCCGGGGTTCGAACCCGAGATTTCCCACATCCAAGGCGGACACCCAAAGCACTTGGCCACTACAGCGATCAATTTCATTATTGCAATATTATATAAATAAAATTATTTTAAATGATAAGAAGAATCTTTTTTTCTAATTTTGCTTGTAGAGTACACAGTATACACTTTTAATAAAAATTGTGTTTTGGGAATCTTTATCGTAGCTTTTAACAATTTTTAGTCATATTGCTATGATGCCCACAGTGTGACAGTGTATAATGATGTTTAGCACTGGGGCAACATGTCGTAGGCATGAAACATCATGTCATACCCAGACACATTATCCTGACACCAGGCCGACCAGTTCTAACATTAACCTCTTAATGCTGATCGCCAAGTTAGGCAACTGCTAGTACCATTTGTATAAGTCTTTGGTATAACTCTGCCGGTGCTTGAGGAGGATGCTGTAACTACTTAAGCCACTGGAAACGTCCTCTAAAAATAATGTCCATACAGTTAAATAATGTATAATAAATTCAGGTAATGAAAATCATTTTCGGTGCTCGTTGCTTTAGTACCTAAGTTTTATTTAGTTTAATGAAATATTCTGCATCAATCTATTTTTTTAAGAAAGAGCATTAACATTTTCCAAATAGTATATGATGACGAAAACAAAGAGCTAAATTAATAGCATACTAAACGAAAATATTACCTGTATTGATTTTGTTTAGTGTTAGTTATTTGAAGAACATTAAATGACAAGTTACGAATTGCTTTTAAAAAATATTATTAAAGTATATTTCATCATACTAGGTACACAAAATTTGGAAAATATAGACGTATGATATTGACGTTTGATATTGAATGGGCCATGTTTTCACGGGGTGGGGTGGTAGTCATTTGCATACAATTAAATAATTCAATATGAATTACCAGAAAACAAATAAATTAATGTGCTCCAGACAAAAATGTTTAAATATATTTCATCTTTCAACAAAGAAAACACCGCCAAAATATATTATTGTATGAACACTGTTTTCACAAGGTTGGGTTTTTTTTGGGGAAGTGTTTGTAATGTTATTACTTCTCAATAAAATAAGCTTTCTAATTTCGCATAAAGTTTAATGAGCTGCTTTAAAAAATAGATCACTACTAAATTGTTGGTGCAAGATAAACAGGCTTACGTTATTTCATCACGTTATATATACCAATCCCATTAGTACAAGTACTATCGGGGTTTTGTTGCCTTAAATGCAAATCTGAACTTCTCAACGTCCTTGGGAAATAATGACAAATATCATATTCAAAACAAATTTAAATATCAAATTTAAATCATAGACGAAACTTAATATTTCACATGGTCCGAATCAGTCAGTTATTTGGTCCGAATCAGTCTGGTCTGAATTGGCCATGTTACGAATCAGCCTGTTAACGGAATACACTGGCCATATATCAGTTCTCTGTACCATGTAGTCAGTTATATTATTGTGAATATTTGTCAGGATAGTCACGTTTCAAGCAATCCCAATCGGTAGTGGATGCTTTATATCTCAGGAGATTATGGTCAACTTAGACGTATATCCATACATACCTTGGAAACGAGTTACGTTTTGGTTTTCTTATAATTAAATTAGGCAATGATATCAACATTTATTAATGCATGAATCGATCTCCAACCCCGAAGGAAAAAAAAACTATCATTATTCGTTTCAAGTAACGGTGACAATTTTATTGTTAAAAGAATGCATTATCAACGACAGCAACAGATTAAAAGAAAATATAATATTATATAGCATGAAACTGAAGACATGCAATGATAAATGTTTGGATAAATAATCTGGTTTTATATAAGAACGTGAGTAATGAAACTGGGCGTTATGGGTAAATGAATTTATTAAGATTATCACAATTCGAATTAGAGTTATTTTACTAGGATCTTTCTTTGAAGCTGTGTGGGGTGCATTTGTAAACTTTATTGGAATATGAGTGTATTCATTTCTGCATGATGCATGTACGTTGAACCAAAATTTGATGTTACTATTTATTCCGCTTAGCATGTAAAGTAGAAACTTAACTCTTAACTGTGGATATTAATGTTCAGGTAGAGTATCGTACTGTATGTTAGAAATGATGAAATTAAGTTCTTGAAATAAATAGGCAATATAAATAATTTGCAGATATAATAGCACTCTTGTGGATGCGGGCAAATTGATACAGCCTTATCCGGAATTTAAACGATCTCGTCCAGTCATTAGAAATACCCACTCCGTTTACGAACAGTTTAAAGTTATCCGAAATTATAAAGTACACGAGTGCCGACCGGTAACGCTGTAAATTAAACATGGAATATAGATATAGGGAGCTTCTGTACAAATTGATGATAAGGTTAATTTTGAGTTATAAATTTCATTTGGATAAACCGGCCTTATTTGATTGTAACGACACTTTATTCGGGATTAACTCCTGGTAGAATATGTGTAATCTGTTTTCGAGGCAACTAGTTTTGTTAAAGTTGATATACCTGTGAGCTAGAAAGAGAAACTCGTTTTTTTTTTTCTGGCTCCTAAACATTGTCTTTGTCTCAACATTGTTATAGGTAGAGTCTCATGTCAAATAGAAATTTGTTTGTATATACACCGCTGTTGATTTCCGTTACCAATATGGGCGCAAACGCATAACGACTGATTGATGAAAATAAAATCTGTATTGTTTACCATTTGCAGAGCGGCAATTGTCACCAGAATATTCTGTTTAAAATAATACAAATTTTGGACACACAGGATACTCCAGTGTTTTCATGACTAGCGAAATGTCGGCCTACTCGGTGAATGAATTTGAAAATGTGTAATGTTAATGCATTGAGATGTGTAAATGAAACGCAATACTTTGGAGTCTTTTAGTCTCCTTTTCAGAAAAGGAACTAGTTTTATAGCTGGTTTTAAAAATTAAGAGTGACAGTGCCACTAAGTGGCAAGAGATATTAAGCAAACTAAACCAATTATGTAAAAATATAGTAAAGTTAAAAATATATAAAATAACAATTTTGTTGAAGAGAAACAAAAATGAATATGAAGTAATTTGTTTACAATGTCTTGCTTATGGGAAACAAAATTATCTGAAGAATTTAGAAACAAACTATGAACCCAGGAATTTTTTTTTTAAATTGGCATGTTGATAATTTTGATAGATGATAAAGTAGTTGTCAGAAATATTCTTGCAAAATTATAAACTTGTATTAAGATGCAGTAATGTTATAAAGTAAAGAGTTCTGTCTTTTAAATAATATATTCATATGATTCTAAAAGAAATATTGAATAGGTTCTTCAGGGTTGCAAGTTCAAGAAGGTCATGGAGTGTGTCTTCATGCTGACACTTAAAATCATACTTTCATATACATTTAGAATAGAAATGGGGGGGGTAATTTTGTATTCTTAATGGCTATCATTTTCCTTAATTAAAGAACGATCATTCTTGCATGATACAAATTGGATTTTTGACCAATCCAATGTTTACAGAAATGACATATTGTTACACAGAATTACCCAGCACGCAGAATAGGTCAATTTTCTTGGGAAGCAGCTTACCAAAATTTAAGGATAATGCTTGTTAACAGGCCAAATCTAAAACTTCATCTCAGTTTCATAAATACTGTATTTTTGTGAAGAGATCACAAATTGGCAAACAGAATGTAATCATTTTCATGGTTTTTGCTCATAATAAGTGCAAACAACTTTTATTGCCTGCAACTATTTTTTTAATGAGCAATTTTTTTTATAGTGTATATAATGAATTCATATAAGGTAATAAAATTGGGGTGTGTGTTAATTCTTCAAGCAGTCACTAGTCTGACTGTTCTTCAGGCATAATTTTCAAATTTATATGGTATATATAAGGACAAATTTGGAAAATGTGCCTCGACCTTATCCATAATTCTAAGTTGTAATTACTCTGCATTTATAATTATGATTGTATGTCCAATTCAAAGCTAAATTTTGTGAAAAGCTTGTCTTTTATTCATGTTGTATTATGTAACAGTGAAAACTAAATTGGTCTAATTTACTTTTCAAATAAATCTAAAAAGACAATGTGATAAAACAATCCAGGTATTTGTTCATTATAATTGCCTTCCTGTACAAGAATTTTTTTAGACTAATTCAACAGGCAATAATGTTAATATTGTTACCAGTATCATCAAGCATTGATGATAATTGTATTACCAGTGTTGTTAAGCATTGATGTTAAATGTTAATTATATCGCAAGTATTGTCAAGCATTGATTATCAGTATTATCAAGTATTGATGCCAATTGTATTATCAGTATTGTCAAACAATAATGTTAATATTGTTACCAATATCATCAAGCATTGATGCTAATTGTTTTAGCATTTTCATCAAGCAGTGATGTATTACTGGTATTATCAAACATTCATGTTAATAGTGTTACAAGTATCATTATGAATTTGATGCTAGTTGTTTTGCAGATATTGTCAAGCATTAATGTTAATGTTAATGTATAACCAGCATTTTTAGTACTGATGTTAATAGTAAAGAGCATAATAACGTTTATGTACACCTATCTTTCAGCCAGCTGACATACGATGGTTACCTGTCAGTGGCCAACAGTTTGTCAAATGTTACCAGAACAACAGCTGCAACACCACCCTCTGAGAGACTTCTTAAACTCTTAAAAATGGGACTAAAAATTGAAGAAGGTTTGAAATTTTATGAGTTCAGATTTGTGTGGAATATAAAATTATTTGTTTTAATGACTGAATCAGTGGAAATAATTATTGCTGATAAGTTTTAAAGGCTTAATCTCACACAAAAAATTAATACATTTTCATTGTTTCAAGTTATTTGACTTGAATTTTTATTTCTTTCTCGATATGTAGTAGCTTTATAAAAGATGCATCTATGGGACAAAAATAGGTCAACATGTTTTTCAGGTGTCACTGATTTCTTATCACTTTTGGACAAAGGAGAAGGAGCCTGTTTTTATTTAGCTCACCTCTTTATTGAAATTTGAAATTATGAATTTTAGAGTATAACAACAAAACTGACACAATGAATTTTAATCTTTTTAA